CGTGTAAAAACGAAGAGCACAGAATGTTTTGCTTTGTCGCAATAATTTGCTTATTTAGCCTGCTTTTGTTGTTTGTTTTTTTCTTTTTTTTTTGGTGCTTTCATTCTTTTAAATACATTGCACGCGCATTGTTAATCTGCTTTTAATTAAAACCAACAGCAAGTAAAATGCGCTCCAACTCTAAGCAGCTTTCCTTCCACCTTCACCCTACCACTCCCCCAACGCCAGCCTTGTGCTAATTGTCCTTTGTTCGCCCACCCCCTCTGACTACGACCCACTCCTCGGCCGCGTTTTATTCTAATGCTGCTTGACAACGGCCATATAACTGGGATTCGTTTGGCCAAATATTGTATGTTACAGGCATATTTACATGTGTAGCTCGAGTGAGATTAGTTGGGGAGGCCGACGAGCTCCACTGCTGCTGCTGTTGCTGTTTCTGCTATTACTGCCATTACAGACATGGCTTGCCGCTTCTGGCAATTAAAATACAAATGTTTTCGTGACACCAAAGTCACTGACAATGACAGTGAATGAATGACAATGAATGAATGAATTAATGAATGCAGAAATGTGGCAAGCCATGAAAACAATATCAAAGCAACCACAACATGAAGCTAATTAAAATGAGAGACGTACTTATAGCAGGAAAAAGCTGAATGCCATTTCGAGTTGGCTTATATTCGTTACGGAAAAAATAAAAATTGTAGCACACATAAAAGGGAAAGAACATTTGTCGAACAAAAAGAGATAGTATTACATTCCATGAATATTATGTTATTTAAAAAAAAAAATACAATTCATCGCAGGTAATATCATCATCAATCAGAAAGAAAGTCTAAGTCGATGACTCAGAGTGCTGCATTTCCTGTTAATTTAATCGAAGTAAAAACGAAGTAAAAAATCGAATTAAAAAGGAATTTTTACTTCTTAGGCTAAATACCTCAAAAAACAGCTATTTAAAGATACTACACAGAAGTAGTCATGCTAGTGTTGCATAATAATGAGGATATTATGTACTGTACTTATCATACTCATATATTTAACCAACTACCCGCCAGAAAAGGGGCCTTGAACACAACAGAATTTTAGCAGTTCTTGTCTTAAAAACAACTTTTATTTATTTGTTTATTAAATTTATTCTGTTCCTGTATTTGAACAAACTTCTTTGCGGCGCCTAACAAATTTCTTGTAAATACAAATGTTTCTTGTTCGTATTCGTGACTTGAGGTCTCATCGTCTTAATAAAAACTCTAGTTAGCAATAAATGTGTAAATCTATATCAGAAAGCTCTGACTCTAATAGAGTAGATCAACACCAACTAAATACGATAATAAGTTCGTCAACACTAATTCAATGTATATGTGAATGTTTAAATTGCATTGTGGTTGTATTTTCGACATTTTTTTTTAAATTTTAAATTGATATAAATTTGAAAAAGGGACTTCATAGTATGTATCAAGAAGAGCTGACAAATTAGCTGGCCATTTATGCATCATCCGTCCCGATCAGCATGGTCCATAGTGATAAATGACAGAATATCAAATATAAATCAATCAAGCTATAAAAACCAAAACCCAACCCAATAGGGACATGTGACGAGTGTCAAAAACAATTAATTATAAAATTTATATAACAAACCGAGGCACAACAACAAAAATAATAGTACCAACGACAAAAGCAATAAAATTGGCCACAAACATGAACAATAACAACAAGAACATGTTGTGTTGAACGAAAAAAGATGAAAAGTGCGCCACACAAAATTATCATTCATAATAATTTGTACAAACAAACTGTGGGAAGGGACGCTGAAGTTGTGCCCAGGCTAGGTAAACAGCCGCCGGCACATCTATACACAATATGTATATATATATACAAGTATATATAGATAGATACATCCAGGCAACAATTACAAAAAATGATGTTTTATTTAAAATACCCGACAGAAGCAACAATAATAGCATTACGAGGGGCGGGTGAGTTGCGCTGTCGTATGTCGTAAAAATAACACAACAGTAACAACAACAATAACAACAACATCGCAACATCGACAACAGCAGTGATAATGTTTTACAACAGCAACAACAGAAACCGAAACAGCAGCAACAGCACATCGTTTGCTGGCAACAGCCGCTCTTTATTCTGCCTCCCAGACCGTCTGTATGCACATTTTTATCAATAAACAAACGTGAAAATATGACAAACAAATTAATAAAATGCAACAACAATAAAGTGGCCGGAGTACAGACATTGACAAAATATTATAAATGGAGCTGTATATTTGTCTATTTGTCTGCCAGCCTCACGTCACTGACAATGAAAAGGGGAAACTCCAACTGTCTGTCAGAGGACGCAGCCTAAATTTAGATTCCCCATCTCGTCGGCCAGCCCAGCACGCACTCGCAGCATGTACGGGAATTTCCGTCCCCTCTTCCGTAATTGTGACAATTTGGTTGCACACAAATGGCATAATAAATGCTGAGCGTATGCAATGATGTGTGAACTGCAACAAATTTGATGCCCCGCTGGCGCCCCCTCTTGAAATGTGCACAGAGGAAGTGATGTTGGGTTTAAAGGCGCATGCCAAAGCCTGTGCCTAGGCCTAGACCTGGGGCAAACAAATGTCACTCACACAACTTGTCAATCGAGTGCCCATCACTCTATGCATAATTCGAGCATCGATTGCTGTTGCAACTTTTAGATGAGCAGGCAGACAAAAAGCCGACTCGACTGCTGCCCTTTGTTTATGCAGCGATGGACGCGATGGAGGCCGCAGGGCCAGGGTCCATGAACCACGAATCATGCCATTGACATGGCAAACGAGCGTTTGGGGGTTCATTATGGTCTGCCATTGTAAAGTGACGCACACCCGCGCTCGCTTCCAGGGCCGAATCGCGTGGCTAGCAACAACAATGGAGCAGGAAGTGTCGGAGCTGCAGCAATGAAGCAGTTTTTTTTTTTTTTTTGACTATGAATGGATTGGTTTGCAGCGATATGTAGACACTCTTGTTGTTGTTTATGTTGGCCTATTGTTGTTATTGTTGCTGCTGCTGTGATTGTAACAGCGTGGAGCTTAAAGGATTTTAAAATGTGCATTTCCGGCAATCGCACGCATAATTAACAATAGGGGAGGTCATAAACAATGCAATTCAATTGATGCGATTCAATCATCGGCTTGGCTTTTTGTAAGCTTTACAAACTTGATGCTGCTCTGAAACTTGATTGCAGTTTGATATGGAGGCTGTTATCAGTTTAGATGTGAATGCAGGCTGCCATCACAGCCATTGCGTAATTCATTAAATTCCGTGATTAGGACGTTTTCGTCCAAACAAAATGTATACCATTAATTATTTTCTAGTACCATTATTAATTCTTTAAGAAATTGTTCCATCTTCTTTCTTTTTAATGCGTAAATGAGAAACTCTCACTATTATTTCAATATACTAGTACTTTGTACTGCGAAATAATTGATACATTTTACATAATTATGGATGACAAATGAATTAATACTTCTTATGTAAAGACGAACACAATTCTGAAAGTAATTCATATTATTTCCTTCCTATAAGCAAACCTATTACGTTTAAAAAATTAAGTAGCCAAAGTTATTTTGAGAAGAGCAGAGCGATTGCAGGCTTCTGCCTCCAAAAATTTAGTTTAGTTTCTTTTTAACAGCCGATTTCTTCAGAAACAATTCTTCAGTCTGATAGTGTGCCCATTATTAGAAAATTCGACTACCTTCTCCACGTTTGGTTGAGTTGAGTTGAGTTCCTTTGCCAAAATCATGAAAAAAGTACATTTGTGTGAAATGATCGGGTTTGAAAAATATATACCACTGGGACTTTTACAAACCCAACATTTTCCATTTTGTTCTATATAAGTACTATGGCATTACGTGATAGATAGCATGCATAGCCCCCATAGCCCCTTATCGAAGCAAAAGGAGGTATACAATTAAAATGAAATAATTTATTGCGCAGTGCAATTAGTGAGCATTCTTTACAAAAGGTAAATGGCCTCGCAATTAGTGAGCGATTTCCGGGCACGTTCGATCACTGCGTCACATTGCACTGAGTAAGGTAAAAGGTCAAATGTTTATCAGTTCGAAGCACGACGAAGACAAGGGCTTCGGCCACATAAATCAAGCAGCGCAGTGCATTGCACGTGACTGTCGATGACTGGTCGGTATTTTGGCCTCAATTGTTGCACGCACATTACCCGAAACCGTTACACTTTACGACAGCTATAAAATTAATATATATTTTGGGACCGCTTTGTCAGCAACTAATTGAAACATGTCTCTTTTCTTTGCTTGCAGCGACAGGACAGCGGCCGCTCATTAAAAAACTTTGCTGTTGGTGAGCAGCCGTAGCCTAGCGTATGAAGTAATTAGAAGCCCCACTAAAAACGCCTATAAATGTCAAGTGACAGAAATATTCGCGGAAAAGCGCACAGCCGCGGAAACCATAATGAAACGAGCAAATAAACGGCAGCTGGGACGCGTGTCTCACACTTTCCAGGCAATATGTTGCCAACCATTGGCAACCAGCAGTAACTACAACAACAACATCAGCAGCAACATCTTCAATAGCCTATCAAGCATAGAGCATAGCATGGCAGCAACATTTTTATGTTGAGCAACTGCCGCTTGCGGCAACAACATTGCGTACATGCAACAACAACTTCGTGCCACATTTAGTCGTGTATCAGACGGTTGTGTGACGTGTTGAGAGTACGGCGAAGCGGCAGAAAATTCCGCAGTGTGGGTGTTGTCGTCAGTGTTGTGAAAAGTGCGAGTGAGAGGCGACTTATTTCTGATTCTGAGCCGAACTGACAACGAGCTTATTAGCTTCAAATAGCATTTTAATCAAAACGAATACAAAGGAAGACAGTAACTCGAATCAAATTAAATATTTAAGCAAAAAAAAAATCAAATACAATCGAATAAATTAAAAAATTAAAAACGAAACCGTAAAGCAAATAATACTTTAAGTAATAACAAATTGAGCGACAGTTGCAAAATTACATCTTTACAATAAGTATAAAAAAAGTGAAATTTTTAAACAATGTGACATAAAGCGGTTAGCACATGCTTTAATATTTATATTTATCGCCTCATTCCGAATTGTTCGTTTTACTGCCAACAAGTCTTCATTTTTGCTCTGCAAGTCTGTCAACTAGAAGCCAAATCTGGACGAGCGAGCCAAAATAATTTAGTTGCTCGCCTCGAAAAACTCTCCATTAATTTCACACTTAATTAACGTCCGCGGATAGTGCTCAGAAGACAAAGTGGCCGCAGAGCCAGAAAAGAAAAAGAACAAAAAAGTCCCCATGTTGACAATGTGGCAGACATTATCAATGCTATCAACATCAGTCACACACGCATCACGACGGCAGCCGTCAACAAGCTGCAGCAAATGCCACAGCAGCCGTCAGGCATGTAGCAAAGTTTTATCTAGTTGCAACAACCCGGAAATGCAAAATCACGGTGGCAGCAGAAACTGCAACATGTTGCCAACAACAGGACCACCATGTGGGAGTTGCTGCCACAATGCGACAGGTTGGATACACGGCAAAAGACAAAGGCGGGGGCAGAAGCAGAAACTACAGCATCAGCAACCCATGTGGCAGTGGCTGCTGCTTTTTACTTTGCTGCTTGGCATCTTTAGCGGTAAGTAGAGACCAGCCACTTTCAGCCAAATGAGCCATGGCCAAGCGCCATGAGTGACTTTTAACAAAATGCGCTTAAATGTCTTTGATTTGGTAGCGACCAGAATAAAAAAATTAAACCAGGAGCAAGTTATATAAAAATGCAACACAAAAAAATGCAGCATTAGCCGGCAGCTAAAAAGAAAAAAAGAAAAACAGCAGCACAAATCAAGATGAATTTCCGTGCATTTTTGTGCAGATTTTCTGTAGCACTCGCCAACAAAAAACAACAAATATACACGTACGTCCAACTGGGGTGCGCCTGGCTATCTGTGGAAGAGAAGGGGAGGCAAGGGGAGGGTAGTGGCGAAGTCCTGGCCAACAACGAAATAAATGAAACCGGGCAAGCTCACGATTTTGGCTGCGAGAGAGCTTGACTGACAAGCGCCTGCTGCATGTATCTTCCTGCCTGTCCATACGAGTGTACGAGTGTATAGATGTGTGTGCGTGTCTGAATATGTGTAGTGTGTGCGTGCGGTTTGTTTAAAAAAGCTTCACGAGTTACAGGAGCAGCAGCAGCCAGCATAGCATCACCATCTCTATCGCAAAAAAAGGCTTAATATACTATACAGCACAGGCAGCAACAAAACACTCGAAAATAACGCGAAGAAATAGAAGAAGATTAAATATCGGGAAGGGAGCCAGCAAGACAGCAAAACATAGCTATATAGCTGTATAAATTGACTTGTGTTTTTCATTTAAACGCTGCATGAGCGTTTGCCTTACCATCGCTTTCAATAATTTCACTTGATTTTGCAGCTTTGAGAGCAGCTGCACATTTTTTGGCATTACATTCCATTCTTATTTTAACTTTTTTTTACTTTTTATACCCACTGCCACTTAAAACTGAAATTAACTTCAGCGCACGAAAGTGTGCTCCGGATACGGCACAAAAACACGGAGAATAAACCTAAGCTATCACGTCCTCCTCATATGTGTAGCCGTATATCGGTGTACGTGTGTGTGCACGGCTTGATTATTTCGTTTGAAAATTGATGTTGCCATCAATTATTGTGCGCCACAAAACACAATACGAGTACGAACAAAAATGAAAGATTCTTCACAGATGTTTGAGGGAGAAATTGAAAAAGAAAAGGGCGGACTGAAGAGTCAATACCCTGCTATTGCTCCTAGAAAAGCGTTACAACACTTTCTCATCAAATTCAATTACATCGGCATGGCTCAAAAACTTAAGTCCGAGGTACTTTTTAATTAAAAAAGCAGGGAGGCCTAACAACAAAAATTAACATTTTACCAAATCTCGAAAAACATACAACCTTTAATTTCTTTTTTTTAATTTCCAAGGTAATCAGCAGATATTATTAAATCTTAACTCAGAGAAATCGGGAGGTAGCAATCAAAGCTTAAAGCCACATAGATTTGGTAGAAGAAATGGCTTCTTAATGGAATCAATTCTTAATTATTCCTGTACTGCTACTTTGTCAATCGTATTAGTGATTACCTGAGGTCTGGTTCATCCAAATGCCATTTGACTTTATTTGTAGAATCGTTGCTCAATTCAACTATATTTGATCTTCCAATCGTTTTCTTCAAATATACCCGTATCGAATCGGAGCTCTCCTGGTTAGGACTATTATTATTAAACGGCATGCTATTTTTAGAAACATTCAAAAATGTGAAAAGCTAAACTAAGTATTTGTTCAGGTGTGTAAATGTGTGGAAATGTTAAATGATTCGACTCAGATTCAATGACTGTTATTATTTATTAACTTTCATTATATTTTTCGGGAACTTAATTCAATTTAATGGTTTAAGTGCTTAAATGTCTTTTTTGAAAGGTTTAAAGAGAGACATGATTCAAACACTCAATACCCTATAGCATAAAAATTTATAAAAGTTCTTAAAAATCCCTCCGCCCATACATACTTACGAAGCCTGATCGCTTTTATGAACTCTTTGCTAGAATATGCAGCATACCTTTTAACCAATGCACGCACTTAGGGTATAATGAACGAGCTGTGAGAGGAACAGAAACAGCAGCCGAGGCTCCTCTGACTGGCATAGACGGGCAAGAGTAATGGCGAAATGGCAATTGAGGTTTCCCTACTATGCTGTGGTTCTTAAAGCCAAGTCTTGTAATCGATGGCGTGGCAGGCAGTACAAATAATTGGGTGGTGCTGGGGTGTGCTGAGCTAAAATAAACTAAAATCAATTTGGTTAAGCATTGGCAATAGCAGGAACTGACGTAACAGCTACGAAGCCGCTAGCCCTCTGGCCACCCTGCCTATAAAACGCCCACACAACTAATCAGGATAAATAAATATTTATAATTAATTTAAAATATAAACATGAAACGCAACGAAGCCGCAATTAACATTGATGAAGGGGCTGAAGGGGGGTTCGGGAGAAAATGGGCCGGCGTATACCAAATATATCGTTCGATGGGCGGGCCAGCATTCTCAAAACACTTTGTTGTTGTTCACTTTAATTTTGATAAAAAGCAACGAACACTTTCATTAAGAAGGAAACCGACGGAAAAGTATGTGCTTTTGAATGGGTGTGAAAATACTATACTGAGGCGGTATGTTCGAGTATACGTGTACATATAAATGAATGCATGAATAAGCAATCAACAGTAATGGCCCAATGGCCATTGGTCGTCGGCAGAGAGACAGAACAAATTATGAAAATATATGCACGGCTTGGCACATGAAAGCCGAAACGGAACGGCTCGGCACGGCACGGAAGGAGGCGAAAAGGTTAAAGCGCAGCTGCCGTAAAGGGAAAAGCAACGGTCAAGCGGCAAGTAAAGCTCCTGCCTCAGCTAAAGAGAGAGAGAGAGAGAGAGCTAATGAGGCAGGCCACTTGGCAGCAGGTGTCTGCTTGGAAAAAAGAATACTGAAAAGCGCACATCATATGTATGTGTGTGTGTGTGTGTGTGTGTGTGTGTTTGTGTGTGGAAAGTCATGTGCGTGCTTAATGAACTGCAATCAATGGCAGCGATGGCAGCCAAGTCGATAAAACCGCACTGCGAGGCAGCTGATTGTGCGTGCACGATTGCGTGCAACATGAGGCAGGCCACAAATGCAAACAAGCAACAACAACAAGCCCACACGCACATGGATAGTGTAAATAGCGTTACACATTTATATATAAAAATATATAGTATATATAGATATACATTTATATCTCATGAAGACAAGAGCCCAAAAACAATCAGACTCTTCAATTTTTTAAAACTAAAAAAAAATATTCCATCTGGATCTTCTTAAAAATATATACACTTTTCATACGCTAACTGATTCCTTATAGAGCTGATAGCGAGATATTTATTTTACTGAAGTTAAAATGCTTCAAAGATTTGTTATTCTCTTCATTAAAGAGAAAAAAAAGATGTGAGAGTTATGGTGAATTTTGCTGCTTTAAAAATATATTAATGACAACAATATGTTACAATACCTACTCATATCTGCCATTGTAAGTTTAAAGCTCTTCCCATTTCCTTGTCATAAAATAAAATAAAAACTTGGTCTTCTCTTTACTTTTCTTAAGTCAGTTACGATAGGTATCTCAAGTAATAATCATGTAATATGTGTTTGCTATTGTTTCTGGTTTTTTATTATTGGACTTTTTTCTCTCATTCCATCAAATAGCATTCGCATCGAATTGTTATAATTTGGAACAACCCTCGGTTGTTTTCGTTTATAAAGAAAGTGTCCGAAAATTCGGTTCACATTAATTACGAACATTTTGTTGAAATTTATTTAAACACGGTGCCGAAAACAGAACAGAAATGTTGCACACAGACACGTATACAAAAGCACACACTTCATTAGATTGCACGCCATTTTGTATTTCGCGTGAAAATGCTTTCATCGCTGGACAACAACAACGAGCGACCCACCGACCCACCGACCCACCTACAATCGATGCCCGATGCCACAAGCATTTAATTACAAAAGGGGTTCTGTGGTTTATTTTTGGATGCTTCAGTGACGCTTCGATTTGTTATCTCAGCACAAACACGCACAAAAGTAGGCAATTGTTTTTGGTTTGTTGTAATGAGGCGTCCGTGCGGGTATTTGTGTATGTGTTGTGTGTGTTTGCGTGACTACAAAAGGGTAAGTGTGAATGCTTAGCTTAGTGTTATGTGTGGCTGTTGAGTTTGTGCTTGTTGAGCAATTAGCCCAAAACTAATCAGCCGCTTTTAGCTATCAAGCGACTCAGTTTCGAACCATTTAAGCTGAACATCCTCATGTGTTAAGGCTTAACTTTAACACGACCCCTTGGGCAAAATGTGTGAAAAATAACATAAAACCCAAATACATTGACCTCTGTTTCTGCCAACGGTAGCGGCATCGGCATTGGCATCAACATCACCATCGACATCGAGTACGACATGAACATGGGGACATGAATGTGTTGCCTTCAAAACCCTGGCCATGTTCTGTGGCCAACTGTGCCATATTAAATATAATTGAATTGATATGAAAAATTCAGACTGGCACGCATCAGGCACCCACATAGCAGACATTCATTTTTATGTTTATTGGCTGCCGCACACACACACTACAACACCCACTCCTACACACACAGATACAGAAGACTCACGGGCACACGAAATCACACAAGCACTCACACGCATTCATGCAAATGGCCCGACCAGCTTTGAATCGGACAAGCTTATTGATGACTGTTTGCCAGATGCAAAAAAACCGAAACTTGTTTTTCTTCCCAACTTAAGTAAAAAGCTGGCTACAAAAATATGATAATACATATGAAATGTCGAGAGAGGAAGAGAGGGACAACGTGCTCGTGAAGAGTAGGACGAGAAATGAGAAGCTGGGGATACCGACTGTAGCAAGCACGTCGGCATCATGTATGCCTTTGTGTTTGTCTGTAAATAAAACTTTATCATGTCCAGCCAAAATAGGAAGACAAAGATGTGTGTGTGTGTGTAGAAAAAGAAATTCGTCCAAAAGAAAAAAGTCTGACTTTAGG